GCTTTGCAGAAGAGATTTGTAGAACACGTTTCCCTACCGTTGGTCCCGTTGCATGAGGCTGGTGCGGCTCTGCCTGGCTGAACTGTGCCAAACAGCTTGGGGAGAGAGGGTGAGGTCTGTGTGGCTCAGGCTCCTGAGCTCTTGCTGGAAACCTCCTCCCTTCCCCGCAGCTCCCCCCGGGGTCAGTTAGTTTGGGGGCTGCACGCTCATCTCTCCTGTCAGGGCTTCATACCATGTTTTTCTTCTCGCGATTTGATTTCTTGGAAGGATGTTCGTGAGACTGAAATAAAAACCTGACAACAGCATGGTGCTGGTGCTTGCTGGCAGTGGCCCCCCCAGCCACAGCCCCCTTCTTCCCGCCCTGAGAGGGGAAGCCCCAAAGCTCTGCCCGGGCTGTGCCTGCCCTCCCCGAGGCGGAGGATTCACGCTGGGAACCCGCTTTGTACCTTCCCCTGAGCGGCAGCGCTTTTCCGAGACGATGTGACTGTATTAAGAAAATTAAGTGGAGAACAGCCCAGATTTGGCTCTGGCTGCGCTCCTTGCGGTAATTGGCTCTCCGGGGTATTGAATGCCGTCGGTACGCTGCATGCAGCCGTGCTGGCATAAATAAAAAGGGGGAAGCGATCCCCCTGTCTATCTCTCTTCCCCAAAGGCTTTTTCCTTTTAAAACCCCTTTGCCTACAAACGCAGCTAATAAAGCTGAGTTACGGCGTGTGCAACCTGGGCTGCGCGCAGGTGGGAGCGGGGAGGACTGGCCGTAGAAATTCAGCGCTGGGGGCAGCCGGAGCATCCCCTGCCTCTCCCCAGGGCTTGTGTGTGGGCTTCTGTGTTTGCAAGAGCTGGTTTTGAGCCCAGACCCGGCAGGGATGTGACATCCCCGTGGCACGTCTCTGGGGCTCTTGGTGGATGGTCCTGCCTGCAGATCCGTGGGTGGGCAGCGGGCGATGCCCGTGACCGGAGCAAAGCGTGGCTGTGCTCGCAGCGTGGGTGGGATGGAGAGCGAGACGCAGGGCTCGGTGAGACCCCTGCTCCTACTTGTCCCCTCTGTCCCCTCCGGCTCCTGGGGCAGCCTGAGCCCATCCACAGCTTTGCTTCAGGAGAGAGGAGCCCCCGACCTTGCTGTGTGGGGCTGGGAGACGTGGGGTGCTTGGGGAGAGGAAACAGCTTTGGCCTTATCAGAGGGGCCCCTCTCTGCGGGAGGCGGCTGCTTTCTGCGCCTGAATTAATCATGTTCTGCAACCTTTCAGGAGGGAGAGACGCAGCCGGCTTTGATGGGGCTAATTAAAGCGAGCCAGCGCCGGGAGAGGCTGTGGCGCGTCCTGATAAACAATCTTTTGTCTGCAGCGCTCAACCCCCGTGGGTTCGTGGTGCTGTGCAGCTGGGGGAGCAGGTGGGAAAGGAGAGGGGTTTCAAAGGGGGCGAGCGCCCGGCATTGAGCCCTGCCCGCTGCAGGCCCGTGCTTGACCCTGGGGGCTCCTGGAGCTGTGCCCTCTGCTCTCTGGAGAGGATGGGTAAAAGGAGGTGAGGACCCTCCTCTCCGGGTCAGAGGATGGGGGGGACGCGAGAGCGAAGGGCGGCTGCGGAGCTGCCTGGAGCAGAGCAGAGGTGGCTCCTGGTGACCAGCAATCCTGAGCACATTCCTCACTCCATCCGCAGGGCTGGCAGCCGGGTGCAGACCTGGTTCCCGGAGCAGGGCTGGGGGGCGGCCATCCCTGCTGCGGGCTCCTACCGCACCGAGCACGGCGGCTGCAAGGGCCAGGTCTCCCACCAGCAGGAGGGATGGTCCAGGCCCCCAGCCGTGTGTCCCCATCCCTGTGCGGCTGATGCTAAAGTGATGGAAAGCATTGACATGCAAGGGAGCACGTCAAGCCACGCACCTCCAGTTAATTTTATGGGGAGGCTGTGAAGAGCGGCTGGGGCTGGCGTGTGCGGCCTTGGCACAGGCACAGCCCTCCCTCCTCCCGCAGCACCGGCGAGGCGCTTCCGTGTCACGTTTGAAGAAAGACGCTGGATTATTGGTAATGGCTTGAGATCCCCAGAGAGCCCTTCAGGCCATCTGCCAGCCCGCCCAGCCCGGCAGCACCTGCCCCGCGCGCTCCCAAAGGCAGAGCTCCCGGCTTGAGATCCCCAGAGAGCCCTTCAGGCCATCTGCCAGCCCGCCCAGCCCCGGCAGCACTGCCCCGCGCGCTCCCAAAGGCAGAGCTCCCGCCGCTGCTAATTACCCCGCAGACGATGCTCCGTCCCTGGGATCCCGTGCGTGGATCGGGTGCGTATTGCACAGACAGGAAAACAAAGCAGCCCCCGTTACATAGGACTGGGAAAGGCGTACTGGGCCGCTCCCTCTTTGCCCACCCCCGGCACAAGCGGAGGCACCCCCAAACTGGAGCATTGGAGAGCTGTGTGCTGAGCAGGGGCACGAGGACGCGCTGCCTGCCATGTCCCTGCCCTTGCACCATGCTCCGTGGCCCAGTGCGGTGGCGTGGCCGGGGACAGCCAGCCTCGTGCCCTGCCCGGTGCCTCGCACC